GATGCAGCTTTCAATGTGACTGGAATAGATCGCACCGTACCTTCTTGCGTTCCCATTCTTCAGTTGGAAACGCCTATGCACCATCAGCGTCTGCTGCGTGCATTCCGGTGTGGTGCTCATGGAAGGGGAAAACCGGGGGATTGCCATGGGAGGTAACTCTTCGCTCTACACCACCTCCCTATGTTCAGCATTCTCCATCCCACGTACGTACATGCGTGCTTGGAGCTAGACAAAATCGCAAAGGCCCTCTTGCACACGACGGCCGCCTTCAATGTAGGTCGATCGTGGAGTGCCCCGTTGGATGTGCTCATTCACGGTACCGGCTTTTGCGCACAAGGTCATGAATGGTGGGGTGCAGGAACAGCGCGTTAAGGACGAAAAATGTTCTCAAGGATGGATGCGGGATGCAGTTGGATGCAAAGCATTGGGGACTGCGCGCACTGCGAAAGTCCCCAACGCAGCCTTTGGCCAACCAAGTTCCAAGAGCGATTCATTGTTTACGTCTCGTAACGGTTGAAGAACATGAACACCACACGATTGTGTGCATCGCATTGGTCCGATGTGAACACTTTGTACACAAGCAGCTGCGCCTAAAATGTTAAACACAGCTTAAGCTGACGTACACTGTCTGCAGTGGCTGGTCTACCTGGTAGTGTTTCAGCAGCAACAGCAGCTTGAGGGGCCAACCAACACTCTGCACACACAGTGCTCTTCTAGGGCGAGCACGGTGCTGAAGGCCAGCCCCTGCCTGGAGGGATGTGATCCCGCTTGATGTGCTGTTTCACGGATGGATCAGCCTGACAATGGCAAGGACCCTGCAGGCGTCTGTGGCCCTCCCCTCCCCAGGGCACAGGTTCACAGCCCCTGGCTTCACAGCCGGCACAAACAATCAGTCCCCTGTTTCAGCAGCTGTGCGGCAGCAGCTGTGCGCTTGCCCAGGAAGGTGGCACCATGGCCGCCCATCCCCCAGATGGCGGGAGGCAGTGCGCGCACGCGGTCTGTGATAGGAACATGGGCTGTGCTAAGGCGGGCCATGCAGACTGCGTGGCATCCTCATCTGTCCATCCAACCCCCATCCGTCGATCCACCGGCCCCAAGACGCGCAAACATTGTCCGTGATGTCTTTAAGACGCCGATGGCCGGCTTCCGCTACCCCCCGCCACCTCCCCACCGCCCCCACGCAACCGCACGCGCCCATCCAAATGCCTCCCCGCCAGGAAAGCGCCGAGAAGCACCACTCGCGGGCTTAAAAAAGCCGTCCGAGGCCCCCCAAAGGACAAAAAAAATGCACGACCGGCCCCCACGTGACCGGCCCCCAGCGAGGCGGGACCCTTCCCGGCCCCGTTCCGCTCTCAAATGCCTGTGCCGTGCGCCCCGCAGCCCAAATTACACGCCCCGCTGTTTCCCCCACGTTCTGCGCCCACCCTCCCCGCCCTACTGGGCCGCATCGCGTGCCACCGTCCCGGACGGCCGCTTGCCACATCCCGGCCCCCCCTCGTCGGTCCCCCGGGGCCCTCGAATCGGCCGGCCCAGCCCCCGGGGCCCAATTGGCGCCCCGCCGAGGCCCAACCCGGTTGCGCTCTTATTGGGGGCCCGTTCCAAGGACCGCATTCGCGCATTGGCCGTGCGGAGCGGCACGCAGGCCGTGCGCCAATTGAGCGGCCCGGGCGGCCAATTGGGGCGCAGTCGCGCAGTACTGGCTGAGTACGGTTGTCGGTTGCAGCGAAAAATTTCAAGTTAAAGTATCGGGGTGGTTGGAGGCGAGCGAGGGGTTTGGAGGCGGTCCAGGGGGGGTGCGGAGGGAGCCGGGGGCGCAGGAGAGGCGGGAGGCGAGGGCTGGGCGACTCTTGGTGGGGTGCGAAAGGCGGGGGCCCGCCGGGAAGCCCTGCTCGCAGGTGGGCCGCTGTGCAAATTGCCAGTGTGGGGGCATTTTTGGGGGCGAAATTTTGACCGGGGGGAGCTGCTGGGCGAATTTCGGGTATGGGAGATTGGGGACGGGGTGGGCAATTTGGTTGCGCGCACCTGGGTGGCTTGTTTTGGGTGTCGCGGTAGGGGGAGGTTGCGCTTTTGTGTGGTGTGCGGCGTGCGCTTGCGAGCTGTGGGTGTGCAATGAGATGTGCATGTGCGGGTGGGTGTTTGTCACCGATTTTTGCGGTGAAGCGGGGCGGTTGGAGCGGTTGCTAAACGAAATTTGCTGTCACCTGCGCCTCCCGTGTGGCCGGCTTTCGTCTCCAATTACCCCGCCATTTTGCTCTTGCCGGTGCAACCTGCAAGGCAATTTCGATGTTTTGGTGTCATTTCTGACGGCCGGATGCTGCTCGTTGCGCTGACGAAAGGGTTGCAATTATGGGCTTGCCACAATTTTGGCGCCGATCTTGTTTTGGGAGGGCGCACGGTGTCTTGCAACGTCACCTCTGCGCACAATTGTGCGCCTTGGTGGTGCGCTCCATAATGGCGACGTGCGTGGCACTGTCAGATTGAGCCCTCTCCCCATTACTGACGATTGCCGCAACGGGGCGCTATGAATCGCCAGGCAGCACATAAGGCCCTGCATCTTGACTAACCTCATTTACCGGAACGCAACAAATCACTGTTTTTTTGCAGGCACTGTCCCCCAGCTCGCTTTAATTTTGTTCCCGTTATGGACGAACTTTTGGCTGAATTGTTATTGATTTTCTGCTGGCTACCTTGATCTTGTGCCTATTTCGCCCAAAGGGTGTTCCAGTGTCCGTTGGGCCGCCTCAGGCGCACCTTGTTCTAAATGCACTTCGGTACCCACAGGGGCGTCTTTCAAATTGACATTGTGGTCTCCAGGTCTGCGGTAGCTGGCAGACCACAAATTGGGCAACTTGATACGTTCCCTTGTGAACTTGGTTAAGTAGTAGTTGATGTACTGGCTTGGCACGCTCGCAGCACGGTTTGTTCCAAGGCGTCCAGGCGAGGAACACTCACAGGATCCTCATTTCCCTGCGAGAACTGTGCGAATGAATGACGCACCGGACATGAGTCGTTCCACACGACGAGTCCGTGAGCCGCCACTGTTTAACATTAGATTTCAACGAATTGATCACAAACTCTGCTTCGCTCGGGCAAAATAGGAAGCGGACGGCTACCTCATTGCCTTGTTTTGTAAAAAATGATGATGATGATGATGATGAGAACCGCCACTCAATTGCCCATTAGCACTCATAAATTATAGAGAAATCCCGGAAGGAGATAACCGCGAAAAGTCGTTGCCCGAAAATACCGCCATAACATGGCAAAACCGGGGCGCATTGGAACCGTTGACGTACACCACAACGACGCAGCAAGGGCAACGCAATACCGAAGCACATTGAGCACTGTACGGTAGATCACAATCGAATCTCAAATTGCCCATTTCGGTCTCAATTTTTTGACGCATTTCTTCATTTGCGCAGGAATTGCTCCCGCTCGGATCGGCGGCGTCGACGGTGGCTGGAGCCGCGCATTTGCATATGGCGCCGGCCTCTCAGCAGAACCCAAACAGGAGGCGGCCAGGGCAGAAGCGAACGGCGCCCAGCGGCCCAGCGGCGACCAAGTCACCACAGCAGCCTGCGCCCTCGGACGCCGACAGCTTCAGCCAATTGAAGGGCAAGGTGGTGTGGGCGCCCGCGGGGCATTTCGGAATTGAGGTCCCGGGAATGTTTTACAGGTGGGGAAATTTTGGGATTTAATGCGCGCGTGACTGGGGCAGGAGGGGCGGAAACAGGGGTCTGGCGTCGGTCGTCATTTGCGGATGACGATCAGTGGGCCCCCGGCGTCAGTTGAGCGTTGGAAACTGAGTTAGATGGCCTCTTTTGGAGGTGAAAAGGGTGAAACTGCCCGTCGTTGGGAGCCTTTTGTTTCTGGCTTCCGGCACGTGTCGCAAGCAGATTGCGGGGGGGCGCATGCACATTCCGCGGACGCGCTATTCGGTTGCCAAAGAGGCCTCCATTTTCTCGCATTTGGAATCCTCTGCACAGCACTGACGGCGATTTCCCAGTGGGATGAAAGCACCCAAAGCAGAAGGGAAAGGCGGAACTGGGATTGCAGCGCGCGCCTGGCCATTCATGCTGTTGCTGAAAACTGTGTGCTGGCTACGAGTTTGTCGCATACTTTGCGCGTGCAATCACACGCTTGCAGTTGTGGCACCAATTCAACGCGTTTGGCATTTTTATTTCTGCTCTTTGAATATTGACGTAAATGCGACTCGACCTCACATCCTCTCATTGCATTCTCAACGCATTTGCCACGCTTCCGTCAAATAGGGGCGTCGCCATCTTGCAGATTTTTGGCCGTGCATTGCCACCAAGGGCCCTTTTGGCACCTATTCGGACGAGCGTGCAAATTGCGTACTGGGTGCTGTTAGTACTTACCGCGTTTGGCACTTTGTATAGCTAGTACTCAGTGCACTCATCAGCAATCAATCTATCCAAACAGTGCCAAACTTAGGCAAACGCTGTCGAAGCATAACATCGCCGCGCCGTGTGTTTGTGTGCTTGCGGCTCTCAGGGATGCCGGAATTCTCCCGCACAGAATTTTCCCGCTAGTCCCCCAGCTATTTGCAGGGTCGAGTTCCCTGTCTCATTTCGTCGGCCGGGCCCATTAGCCATGTCCAGAACGTTTTGCAGCGCGAGAGCGCTGCTCCCGCCTGCTGTCCAGATCCACATCGGTTGTATCTTTTACGCCGTTTCACAATGGCTCAAATCGTGCACTCCTATTTCTCATTGCACTGCCAGTAGCGCTGTACTGTGAGCACAGCGAACTATTCTTGTTATAGGCCAAGCACGTGATACTTTCCACGCACTTCGTGCCGTTGTCATGCCTGAAGGCGTTGAAACATGCCGAAGCTGAGCTTGAATGACTTTGACACCTTCTGTGCATCCGCGCGCTTGTTTGAGTGTTGCCGATGCATCCATAGTTTAGTGTTGCCGATGCACCCATAGTTTGATGCTGAACTTCTATCTTATTTTCAGAACACCGTTTCAGGGCGCCGTGCCGGCAGAGCATGGTGCTCACGCGAACACATGAGACGCTTGCAACACTTGAGCTGCTTGGGCCCAAGCGTCAGCCCAGCGCGCAAAGCTCATCTGACAGTCGAATTTATCCAGAGATAGCTGTATTTTGCTCTGAGTTTCTTTGACTTCTTTTAACAGTTTTCACTAATTAGTTCAACAGCTAATATTGATGCCATTATGGGTCAATAGTTAACACCTGTTGATATTGTAGCTTGTGCCTAATTTTGCCACCCTGTGAATCCTAATGAATCCGTTCAGCGGGCTACCAGTCTGCCCACGAAGGAGACTGCATCCCCCCTGCAGGAACGCCGCTAGAGGCTGACTAGACGCAGGTCTTACTCTCAGTACTTTGTCGTTGTGGCGATTGTAACGAGGGCGTGTTCGCGATTGATTCTGCACTTGATCTATCGCTTTAGTATACAGAACTGGCGAAAACAGCATCACATGCACGGTTATATCATATAATAATATATTATAGTAATAATAATAATGTATTACAATAATTATATAACAATATTATTATAACACGGTTGAGACAGCACAGTTTCGCTCCGTTTCGGCACGTTTTGCGGTGCTATTGCGTGATTCTTCTGTTTGAAGTGTAGTTCAATGGAATTCTGATTGACAGTGAAAGTTGCTACCGTGTCAAGTCTGCCCTCTTAGACAGCCGTTGCTCGCGGACAAGAATCGCTCGAGGCGGGAAGTATTTTCTAGCGTGGCACAGTGGTAGCTCGCAGCTCTGGCCCTCCTTTTCGCTTGTGGTGCATTAATTCCCAAGTTTTCTTTTGGCAATAAACCAGAAAATTTAACTGAGCAGTGCTGCTAAGCGGATTGGGGCGATACCCCACAAAGTGCTGTTGTGTGGTACTCAGGATACTGCGTTAGCACCTAACACTGTGATTCTCCAGTGATGTTGCACCTTCTGCATCGCTGGCCATCGACTGATTCAGCCGAAATGGACACCCTTTGGTTGATGTCCTGCGTGCACATCCATGCGGGCAGACAAGGTACAAGGCTTGTACCCAGTGCTCCCGACAGGATGTGAACGCAGCACTTGGCGTCACGACCTGCCTGAAACTCGTGTAGGAGGCGTCTCGTGGACACCATTGCGTATGTTGGTCGCAAGTGTCGTCAACTTCTATGCCTATTGGCGTTGCAGCCTGCCAATCAGTCATGGAGGAGCGCATTTGGTCTGTTGCAAGATCATACACATTCGGGCACCAGAGGGGGCAATGTGAAAGGAAGGTCTCCTATTCATTTACCTCCCTAAGTATGGATTCCTGAAACGCTGTCAGGAAAATGAGGTACAGCAAAGTAGTATGTCTTGCACTTTCCCACAACATTGTTCCTGCACACGTGCGAGTTTAGAACTCTCCTTAAGCTGGCGAAACGTATGTTTTTCAGGGTTCGCGTCACGCGCCGTGACACCCGCCGGCGTAACGCCGTCGTCATCCGCTTCTTCGAGGACGACGGCAGCCAGTACTGGCTGCCCATGGACCAGGTGCTGCGCTGGCTGAAGGAGCCGAACAACCCCGACGGCCGCTGCACCCACAGGGAGACGGACAACTTTGCCGCGCAGACCCTGGTGGACCTCAAGTCGGGGTGGCTGGGGGGGCGGGCGGACACCACGGAGATCGACGAGACGGACGTGTCCGTGTCCAACGTCCTGCTGGAGATGTCCGCCATGGACAACTGCGAGGCGTCCACCATCAAGGCGGGCGGCCCGGCCAGCCAGACGTCGGGCAGCCCGGCGTCCGTGGGCACAGAGGTGCACGTTCGCGAACACCACAAGAAGCGGTGATATATCTATTGTGTGAGCTCTGCCTCCTGAGGGGTCTCCATGGGGCGTCGCCGTTGTCAAGATTCGAATTGAGGGATTTCGGTGACCGTGGGGCGGATTGCCTGTCTTTGGGCCGGTGCGTCCGGTAGAAGCGGGGAGGCGGAGGGGGATGGCCTGGACCCACGTAGGGCATCCAGAGCCCGGATTAATTCCGGATTCCGGGATGTTCCGGAAGATCCGGAATGGTCCGGAATGTTCCGGACGCCCGCCGGACGCACGGGAGCGGACAGGAGATATTTCATTCAATAATTGTGCTATTGTTCCCCGCGGATGCGGCGCCGGGGCGCGGCGGAGCGCCGGGTGCTGTGCGGCCCCGTTTTGTTCGCTTTGGGCGTTTTGGGGGCGGATGGCCGACGACCGCCGTCTCCGCCTGGGTTGCGTGTGTGAGTTGGGTACTCTTCGGTGTGTTGGAGGGGCCCTGGGGGCGCCGGGAGACGGCGCTCGCGCGTCGGGCCGCGGCCTCTCTCAGCTGGCGGGGCGGTTGTTCGGCCGGGGGGGCGCCCCAGGGGGGAGGGGCATTTGGCGGTGTGCTCCTCGTGATTTGTAGGCACTGGCACCTGTAATAACGAATCCTCGATATTGCTTTACAGGGCCGGAGCTTTGTTGCGTTGTGAGATGCTTTTGTGCCAACAAGCCAGGGTCTGTTTGCTGCGGGTTGTCAGCCAGTTGGGGTTGTGATCGCAAGCCCTGTAATGTGGTGCGTGAGTTTCTGAGAAGAGGAACACTAAGAATGCAATCTCGGCAGCGTCGTGGTCAAGAGGGATGACGTGCCATTTGCCTGTGGAGCAAGCTTTGCTCGCCACGCTTTCAGACAAGGCGACCTGGCGCATTGGGCCAGGGAGTCCACATTGCGATTCCGTCGATGATGCAGCATGGCGGGATGGGGAGCGCTGATGAATTCGGATGTCAGAGATATGTTGCATGTGTATGCGACGAGGCTGCCCGGATCTCCATGATCGCGTGCGGGATTGTAACGCGGCCCTGCAGGGCCACGCAGCGGCAGCTGCGTAGTTCGAATTTGCCAGGACAATCTTTGGCAGAATGCTGGATTGAATGGCAACAAACATGTAAAAGTACACAGGTATGCTGCGCAGCCAATCGCCAGAAACGCGCACATCTGTCGCTGAACCCCAGTATCGCCTGCCTCCAAACGCCGCGGTGTGCCCGTTGGTTGGAGTTGTACAAAGCATTCGCACCCTCACGACGTCGGCAGCACAAACCAGCTCACAGGCCCACATGCCAGTGCTGCGGGTCCATTAGGATGGGCTCGGAATACCGACCGTGGGTCAATGAGCGTGTTCACTGCATTCGTCGACGCCCAGAGGACTACTGTAGCCGGGTGCCATACACCTCTGTCCGATATATATCGGACCGGTGTAGCGTGAGAGGGAGATCAGTGATACAGATCTGGAGAGCAGGACCGCTCGTGGCCTTCGCGATCAATACATAGAAACCTTAAGCTGAGTAGGTAAGCCAAGGCAGCCATACTTGGATTATACACTCAGACAGCCCAGAATTGAAGGGGTGTCGTCCAAAGGGGCAGTAACAGCCGCGGAAGCACTCCCGCTGTTGGCGTGGGCGCATGGCTGTTTGGGCACGAGTTTTTGCCCTTGACCACGGAAATGGTGCTGCTGGAGCTCCCCACCCTCTGAGTTGCTTGTTGGTGGCACAGCATCTTTTCGGCGTTGGTGTAGGATGGGCTTCGGAGCATTCTTCACATAGGCGCCGAAGGTAGTCTCACCTTAGGCACAGAGCGTTGGTCATGCGAGGCCGCTGGTCGAAGACCTGCAGCGCACAGTTAAGTTGGGTCTGCCCACATCCTGCAGGAATGGACATCTGGACCCAGACCTACATGCATGCCAAAGGCTGGAGAGGTTTAGTAAACGGCCCGTTGCTTCGGTTTGGTTCGGTTGCTTCCTAAAGCGCCACGCTCGCGGCGTTACAGTAACGCCAGTAACTGCCAACCAGCAAAGAAATCCCTCGCTTCAATAATTGGGCTCAGGGACCCCAAACGAGTGCCGATCCATGTTTGGCGTTTGCAAGGCAGCGCCCTTCCGAGGGCGGCGCGGAGGGGACTGTCATTCAATCTTCACGTGAACACTGGCGCCAGAGGCTCCACTGATATTACGGGACGCACACTACAAAAGCATGCATGTTACAAAGGGTTTCAAAGAGAATGCAAAAATCGAACAGACAGCGCGGTTGAACATTTGTTTTCCGTAATTTCGATTTGCTTTGAAGCAGCCAGCCGCCATCCACCAACAGGATTCAAAATTCCCCACCGTGGATTTCAGCACTCCTGATGTGGTCAAGGGCTCCCCCAACGGCTAAAAACGCTTTTGTGGCGTTTTGTGAGGTACCCCCGTGGTACTTTTTCATTAATGCCTCCGTATGTTGTAATTATGGTCTTTGAGTCTTTATCTTTACGGTAGTTGTATCTGTAATAAATGAACATTGGCATGGGAAGACGTGCGATGCCCAGGCGTGGTTGGAACTGAATGTGACGAACTTGTGAGAGACGTGCCGGATGATTGATGAGAATGACCTGCCGCTTGTGGAGACGTGCCGGATGATTACAGGACGAGATGTGCCATTTTGGATGACTTGCCGTAGCCTTGAAGATGACCAAATGACGGGCCATAGCCTTGAAGATGTCCAGATGATGTGCCATGGCCCTGACGTTGCGCCGCGAGGATTGTTCCTGACGGCGATGCGTGGTGAGCGCCCGTGCCCCCTTTTTGATGCCCAGCTGCGCCTCTGTTAATGATCTACATGAGGAGAGAGGTGCCACGACGCACGGGGATGGGCAGTTACAACGAGGCGACGGTTGCTACCCTGACAACCTAACGCTTACCTTAGTGGAGGCCACGATTACCCCAGTGGCGGCGACGGGTAATGATGTGGGAAACGGCGGGAACCCTTGTTGTAGGCGCTGAATGGCTTAACTGTGAGGGTGCTGGAACCCGAGTGGCGTGGGAAACCATTTTGGTACGTGGGCATACGCGTTTGCTACAGTGCTTTGTGCACAACGGTGCTAGGGTGACGGGTTATGATATGTTTGGACCTGCCAAGTTCGGGACGCCGTTGCGCAGGCATAGAATACGAAGGGGAACGGCCATAGTCGATGTGGCGGAACCGAGTGCATATATAAGTGCGCGGAAACGTTACCACAGGGACTGCGGTGCCTCGGCACTCAGCGGGAACGTGTGTGCAAGACGTGTGAGGAAACCCCTGTTGGAAAATTTCCTGGTAATGGTATCTTGTTGGGAAACGGACCCCGCGCTTGGAGTATATGTGGACGCATGGCTTCACTTGTAGCGAACACGGACCTTGCGCCCGCTTCGTTGTTCTCTGCGTGTCTTTCCGGGATTGTGCCCCTCCGGATGGTTACCGTGCTGTGCTGAAGTCGCCTATCGAAGGCACGCCTTCGCCATCGAGTCCAGCTCGACGGGGCGATCGTTTGGATTCGTGCGTGAGCGGCCCCAGACTGGAAGTTTCGTCATCCGAACGCTTGTTGCGCGGTGGTACGAGGCTCGACGCCACGGACTCCATTTCCAGCGATGTTGCAGGGAAAAACGCACAAACGCCGCCCAGGTAGCCCGAAGCTGCGACGAGCGCTGCACCGAAGGACACAGCCTACCACCTCGAGCCCCTCATCCTCCGGCCTAGCCCGGCGCTGGACAAGCCCCAGTCCCCTCTTTCCCCCCTGCGCTTGCCCCACAAACCGATACCTTCCCACAGGCATCCCCCTGTGTGCCCGCACCCCCCCTCCTCTGCCCCCCCTTCTGCCCCACCCCAAAAGGGCGCCATGTCTTCGGACGGTCTTGGGGCGTCCGGCTCAGAGGCCATGGATGATGGCGAGGCGTGGAGCGACGGCGGGGACAGCTACGGCTTCAGCGACGGCAGCGACGACGTTCGCAAGCAGGCGCGTGTGCGCTAGGATGTCTTGACAGGGATGTCTTAACAGGGATGCCTTGCGCTCCACGATTCAATGGTTGTGGGTGGCACGGCGGCCATGCCAAGGCGAGCGACCGTGCCCCCTTGTGCGCCGCCCCAGAGATAAAAAGTGGCTGGTTCCGGGGATGGCCAGATGGCTGGGTCCCTGCTGGGCGTCCTGGGGGCGGGAGGCGGCGCGCAGGCCTGCGGCGAGCCCGGCGGGCCTGCGACGGCGGAGTCGTGCGCGTCGCGGCCTTGGGATCCCATGCTTGGGCCATCTTCCGGTCGAACATCGGGCAAATGTAGCCACGGATTGGGCGCAAAGGCCATTCCCCACCCCGAACAGATTGTTGTAGGCTCCCCGGCGGTCGTCCGGAGTTGGGGCGGCCGACGAGGGTGCCGGCCACGTGCCCGCTTGCGTGTAAGATTTGTTGCAAAGGGAAAAAGCAACAGGTCATACAAAGGACAAGCAGCTCCTCCCAAGCAGCTGCACGCGAGACTCTTTCCGTGCTGTGAAAGGTGACATAGAGCCTCTGATGCGATGAGCACGCAATACAAGCAACTCAAGAAGGCGTGCTTGCCAGGGAGGATATTTATCGAGGCCGTTCGGCGGGATCTTTGTTCGCCGATCGGGTACTTTGGCACTGGGTGTGGGGAACGTGTGCGGCGCCGCGGCGCCGGCAGCCTGTCAGGAAGCGAGCGAACCGAGCGCCCCGACTGCAAGGAAGCGGCGGCCGGCGCCCGAGAGGACGGGACGCCGAGGGAGGGCGTCCCACGGGCGAGCCGCGTGCGCAGACCTTTGAGGGTTGATGCGCCTCTCATTCTCCCCATTTGACGCGCACGCAATGGACTTTGCGGCCATGTTCCTAATGTACTAGGGGTGTGCTGGGGCACCGGCGATGCGGCAGTTAAATGACATTGATTATGAACTTTTAATCAGGAGGCTGAACCCCAAGAGACACTCCGCTCCGCTGTAATCCAATCCGTTGCCGTGTACTCAGGCCTGCGGGCCCCCCTCAGTGGTTGCCAACCCTGGACCCTGCTGTCCTTCATCACTGCTGCCACTGTTACCTCTGAAAAATGCGGAACCGGCGGTTCTGCATTCTGCGCGAATTTTGGTCATCTGGTGCCGTTCTGGTTGAATTCGGTCCCGTCCGATGGTGCTGCTCTGCTCTTCCGGAATCGGGGCACCATGGCAGCCTTCTTGTGTCGATGGGCAGTTCGTTTCGCTGACTGGCCTCAATCACAACGCAGCAGGAATACATTCCCGAAGCAAAATACATATTGGTACTATTATTCCAATCTTTTCGTCGCAGACTGGCACCAATTGGCCATCCCTTGTCCAGCAATGAGTTGCAACAAAGAGGGAAAGGTCGTGTTTTGTTGGGTTTTGTTACAGCAAACCGGAGATATCCATGCCCTCAGACCTTGGTTGCTTACAAAGGGAGATTTACGTTATCTTGTTTTAGTTTTTCGAAAACCTGTTTCCAGTAACATCGCGACCTCCACTGTAGTGGCCACGTCACCTGACAGTTGAGGTCTCTGGATGGGGTGGCAGCTCAGGCTTGGAAGTAATTCCTCAAAACCAGTGTCTTTGATTCCTGTCATCAAACACTGATGACTTCTGCACAGCGTTGATGCGCGCTTAAGCCATTAGCATTGAGCAGATGCACAATGAAACTGAAGTTGTTGAAACTAAACTGATCTAAGCGTGGTTGGATTTTAGTCCCTGTAGCACAGTTCAAACAGGACAGGAAACAGCGTGAAACAGGTTCAGTCAGTGTATTGCGTAGTCGTCGAGCTGGTCACCTTCAAAGATCAGATCGGCGAATGGTATGGTGTGCAATTCGGAAAACGCCTTAGCACTGAGGGGAGCACCATTAGGGAAATTAGCAGATTTGGGCACCATCGCTCACATGGAAGTATGATGGCAGCGTTGTGCGAATTTGGCAGGCGGCCTCCAACAATAATGACACCTTCGCTGGCAGCGGGCCCAACAGACATATAGAAAACCTGTGCACTGTGTTTTCTGCGTTTCAAGACCGTGTATATCCAAAATTTTATATACTTCAATACGCTGTGCTATTCCGAATGAAATGATCCCATTCATCCAGCACTTCATGTTGTAAATTGCGTGCATGTGCCCTTGCGACTGAGCAGCTTCCCCACATTCGAGGTTCCCCTCACACCTTGACTTCTCACTTCTGTTGCTGCTATTGCGCTGTTGCGCTGCTATCACTATTACCCTCCGATGGTCACATCTTTAAAACGACATCCAACAACGCCCATCATTTCCTGTCATGCATCCCATCCTGGGCTCACTGCATCCACCCCTTCGAAGCGAACGGTTCCCCAACTGAAAGCGCATCCCTCGGCCGCAGCTGGAAGCATGACCAACACTGTGGGCGCACCACGGACTGGGAGTCGAAAACTTTGCACGAAAGGGATCCCTATTTAAGGGAAAAGTCTCTCTCGGCTGGGCGGCCCTGGACGTGGCCATGCTTCCTTCTGCCGGGCCATGTAATATACAGCACGGACAGTGACGTGCACATCTTTGTCACAAGTTATGACTCACAACACCTCATGTAGGTAACCTTCTCTCTCTCGGCCGCAGGTGGAGCAGGAGCGCGCGGCGGTGGACACCATGACGTCCACGTGTGACGTCACCGATTCGGAGGCCCGCGCCATCCTGGAAGCCTTCAGCTGGGACTACAACGAGGCCTGCATGGCGTACCTGGAGGACGCCCCCGCCACCCGCCTCAAGGCAGGCATCCTGGACCTGGCCAACGGCCCCCTGGCCCACGACACAGAGGGCACCGTGTGGAGGAGCCTGTGGATGTCCGAATCAGGGAATGGCATGCAGCCCTACAGCTGGGACCACCAGTGGCAGCTCCTTGAGGCCCAGCGGCGGGATCCCGGCGGGCGGTGCAGGCTGCTGAGCGGGCGGCAGCTGGGGCAGAGGGGCGCGGGCGCCGGCGCGGCGGGGGTGGTGGTGGACCTGGCCGGCATGGTGGAGGTGGGTTGGGGCCGGCGGGGGTTTTGGGTTGTCTGGATCGGGCGCGGATCGATTTGTTTGCAGCTGGTGAAACTGCGCTGGCGAAAACTGGCGATTCGACGCAGTTTCCGGTCGTGTTTGCAGCTTAGGAAATGTTGAAATTCGTAATGGGACCTGGTCGTGTGCTCAGCCACGAGCGGTGCTAGTCAGGTCCGGTGCACGCCACTATTATTTTTCTTTGCGTCTGTCACTTGCTGTTACATAGAAATTACCGATTTTACTCATGTATCATCTTGTGATGTATCAAATGTTATGCGTGCAGTGTTGATGTAGTTTTGCAAATCACGAGCCGTCAAGAAAAAAAGAAAAAATCTTTTTCATCAAGCTGGTGATGCTGGGAAGAGATCCCAGTTGCATGCCCTTGTTTCTTCCAGCTCTGTTTGCTGGTGCTCATTTCTGGTCGGCCCGGAGACCCGCCGGTGTTTTTCGCGCTACGCTCATGTGCTGCAAGCCTGCCTACAGTAGGCGAACTGCCCATAGGCACATCGCCATGTGGTGGCGTTGCGCCACGCTGGAGAGGCGCGTTTGCGAACCGTCTTGCAACACATTGGGCGATTTCCCGAGAGCTCGGTGTCATTTGTGCTGTTGTGTTTGATGCTGTTTTTTGATGGTTGACTAAACGTTGCTGGAAGCAGGAGCGGAACGGATGCACTGAGCACTGACAATCAAAATAGCAAATTAATAAATTGTGGCAGCAAATAAGGACAGATTTGCTTGCAATGCTTTCATGCGACGCAGTTGGGCCCTGAGCTTCGGCGATGACGAGCGCCGCGTGCCATGACGCCATTCTTGTGTCCTCCCCCGGCAGGCTGCTACAGGTCGGAAGGTTCAGAACGTCAGGCTGGAGAATATGCCAGGCTCAATTCAAGACCTCGTTGAGCAACTCAAATGCCACCCCTTAGGTAAGGTGCGCCGAGAGTACTCCGACGGCCACTTGATTTTATCAGGCTGCTAGCCTGGTGCCGATCCGAGAGGCTTGGACATGTGCCGCATCATCGCCTCCAGCAACGGAAGTTTAACGTGGGCCGGCACAACGGGCAACGAACAATGCGTCCGAATTTCCAACCATCGACTTGTGCTATATGGTTCGTTGACTGCTGCTGCAACTGAATATATCTACTGGCTCTGCTAATTGAATATGAGTAAAATTTTCGTTATTGCTGCGCTGTTATCAATTTGTCTCGATTGTAGCCGATAATTCCAAGGCCGTGGAGAGGGAACTGGACACAGAAGTGTCATGCTCTATTTGAAATTTAAAAGGAAAAGTGCTCCAATGCCGAATACAAGTAAGGATTTAACGGGTTATCATGCGAATAGCGGCCTACAACCTCCTGGAGAGATGTGGCGTGTCTCCACACGGCGCTCGCCATGGCGAAGATCGCGCCAAGGAGTTGTGGCGAAGGCTGGGCAGGGAATTTGAGGCGAGCAAGACGCCAGAGAGCGAAGTCGTGGACGGCAGCCTGTTCTCAGCAGAGGCGCAGAAGCGCCTGGTGAGGGAGTTGGCAGAGATCAAGGGCGCCGGACGAGACATTGAGGTGTGGGCCGACTCTGTGACAAGGGGCTTCGGAAATGGTGCCCGCCGAACCCACTTGCGCGTTTCCCTGGTTGTGGCTTTGGCATTGAGGTCGTTTCAATGTGCCACAGGCTGACCACAGGCCAATCCAACAAAAACTGGGTATTCCAGGTGAAATTTTCTGTGTTTTGGTCGCTCTAAGCCAAGAGAATCAAATCTACGTGATTAACCGGAAATTGTTAAATTATCAAGTCAAGATAGTTGAGCAATTCTATTTCTTCAACTCAACAATGTTAGATGATTAACTTAGGTTTGTTAAAATAAATCAGTTGAAGGCTGTTTATTGGCAGTGGAGATACGTAGATACCAGATTTCATGCAGGTTGGCACGGGGCAAACGAGCTTCAGAATTCGGGGAAATCGGGGCCATTGCTCGGTCGCATTCGCCGGTTGCATTATTCGCAGGCGTCGATTACAGTACGTCGCGGCTCGAATGCCATGCTACATAAACTACGCATGCAATGTAGTACATTGCTGTAGATGTGTCAGGCTACGTTTCTGTGCAATTTGCGACCAGGTGGATCTCGTGGAAGATCGATTGGGCCACTGGGAGATATGCGTCTACAAGGAGGCCTTCGACAAGGACTGCGGCCTTTACAAGGACATGACCGTCTTGCCCACGATGCTCCCAGGCGCCCAGAGCCACCTCGTCTTCGAGGCCCTCTTCGACGCCCAGTACCCCGCTAGCCCGCCCTTCATCTTCCTCAAGTCCCCGCGCATGCAGGTGGGACGCGACTGCAGGAAATTCCAAATTCTCCGGTTGCCAAATGACCAAATTGCTAGAGCTTCTTTGATGCTTAGTTTGCTGAATTGTAGAGTGTGCCATATTGCCAAGTTTATGAATCGGTAAATGTCCTGAAATGCCAATTCTGGCTACTTTTCCAATGTTTTATAATCGTCACATTCGCAAATTGTTTTGTGCTTATGTTCCTAAATTTTCTGACTTGATAGTGTTGCTAAGTTGATGAGTTTGCTACATTACGCAGTACTTCGTAGTATGTTTTCTAAAGCGCTGGTCCAACACATATAAGCCCAAGCGTAGTACTCAGGATGTTATGCTTAAACTCAATACACTTGAATTGGAGGAGCTTTGCGCTGCGTGCAGGTCCACTCCGGCCACGTGGCCCTGAACGGCGCCATCTGCCTGGAGCTTCTGGCCAACACGGGCACGCCCACGGGCTACAGCGCCGACTACAGCGTCAACTCCCTCTTCCGGCTGGTGCTTACCAACATGATCGAGCCCTCGGACCACGCCGTTTTCACCGCCGCGCGCGTGGACTTTGCCATCGACAGGGGCGTGAGCTACAGTGCCGCCGCCGCCAGGCAGGACTTCGAGCGGGTGGCCCGCATGCACGGCTGGAACACGAGGCGCAGATGAGGGGGCTTGAAAAACGATTGCTAAATACGGTTCGAAAGGCGATTGCTGGGTACAGTTTTAATTGCAAACCGTATTTCAAACTTTGAAATGCGATTGCGTGCATGCTGTTTGAAGTGCGATGGATGGGTCCGTTTTTGTATAATAGCGCCTGGTGGGTGCGGTTTTGAATTTCAAATTCGAAATACGATAGCTGGCCACAGTTTGAACTGAGATTTCTGGGTGCTGTTTGAATTGCGACTGCTGGGTGCGAGTGTGTGGTTTGGGTGGCTGTTGACAAATGCTGCGGTGGGCATGCCGATCGGTGTGATGCTGAGAGGCGCAAAGGTGGCAGTTGGACTGGTTATGATTCCGCAGCCAAGGTGGACGGGGCCTGTCCTGTACCATTCCTCATTCATGGTATCCCGTCAAGGTGGCGCAGCAAGGGGAGTGGCCCCAATTGGTTTGTACCCGCGTCAAAATGACTACGCGGGCTGACGAAGGCAGGCAGGATCGAGGGGTGGCGATCCCCGAACGGGAATTGTATGCTCGAGTCCACGGCAACGGTTTACAGCCGAGGCAAAAGGACAACAGGCGTTCTGTCCTTTATATTCAGTCCGTTCATCAACGTCCTTAATGCAATTCCCAGTGCTTCATCATCTTTTAAAGCATTCAGTTGTTAATAGTGCTCAATCACTTCTAGCTGCAACAGTACCAAATCGACGCGGTGCCTTGCCTTACGTAAAACACAGTCTGGACAGAAATCTTCGAAGCGAACACAGGTCGCCATGACGGGCTTCTGCAGTACTTGACACTCCACTGAGCACACCAACAATTCAGGGACTACAGGAGTGCAAGTCAAAGGAGCGCTCCCCTTCCAAGTTTTCGCCAACGAGCTGAACGACCCAGTCGCTGAAGGTTCGGCTCCCCCAAGAGCTCGTCAGCATTTAGCCGCGGGTGTCCTGCGGCCTACGTCCCCCGGCTGTGAGCGTATCCGCCTTCGGCATCCGCCTGTTAAGGATTTACCGCGTTCCTGGGTGTTGGTTGTGAGTGTCGGCCAACCCGACTCACAAAAGCCCCGGTTTTGATCATCGTTCCCGTCCATCAGCATGCACCTTCGAACTGGTTTCCTCGGGGACTGGGCAGTCGAGGCAACGCATCGTGGGTTCCTCCATGGCCCCCAACAGGACTCTAACAACCTCCACAACGCTATGCTTTTCAACACTTTCCCTCGCAGGGACTCGTTTCCTCAATAAGCGTGGTGCACGACACTGGGACAAGGCATGTCGCAAGTGCCCTCCATATTATGCAAAGCACTGCTGAAGAGCAGCTTACAAGCGCAGATAAGCCAGTACTGCGATGGACTGGTTTGCTTCTGCTGAACAGTGTAGGGATTGCAGCCTGGCATAGGGGCCGTCATCGCATGACAGAATTGCTGCACTGAGAATTATCTGCACAGGTGTATAGACTGCTTTGGAGCAAATGCACAGCAGAGCCAGCACCAGCAGGAAACGTCTGTGTTGGTGTTGTTTCTGATTTGCGACCCCATCGAAGTGGATTTGGCATTCCAAAGCCTGTAAACTTTTGGGCAGAGTTGCCCATGGAGTTTTGGGCAAGATTTGGGTCCAACAACAGCTGCTCTATGCAGAACAGAATTAGTCTGCATTGTTCTGTGGTGGCAAATTGCAGCTTGTGCATCTGGCTGCCATGCTGAACTTGGAACCCTGTTGCAACACTTCTGCCAGCCGGAAGGTTGATACTCTCCACTGACCTGGTGGCCAGCAACAGATTATAAATAATACAGCACGCAACAACCCTGTGAAGGGACAATGGCTGTTTAGGGTGAAAATGTGACAAAGAGTTGTCAGGTTTCGCTGTGTTTCATTGTGTTCGATGTTGTTGTTCATCAGTCTGGTCCATGGAATCCCAAGCATGATGACGTCCATGCTTAATTGGGGAACCATGAATGCAACTAGATGTGCCAGAACGGGAGGGACAAGTGCTGATATGCTGGGAGGATGGCCCGAGCCAGGCGATGCCATCCATAGTTGGCAGAACTGACTTGCTCTCCTGCAGGGGTATAGGGCTCGATTCAGCTTCAATGTTTCTGTGCTGTTTGTTGCTACAGAATCGTGGCAGCCTCTGCAACTGGATGGTGGCTTGTTCTCTGTTGTCGAAGACATAATGGCTACACCAAAATGGCCATGGGCCACAAAAGGGCCCGCGACAGTCTTGTTATGCCTACTGGCGTGTCTCACAACGATCATGCATGGTTTGAGTGGCACATGTGGACATCCAAAGATTGGTGGCCAAGAAGACACCTTCAATTCAAGTGTGAACACAGCGCTGCAGAGCAAACCAACAGCTGGAGCTGGTTATCTTACCAGAGTATGCCACTCATTAGTAGTCAGTGGTGCTGTTTATTGATGGCTACCAGACAGGACACTCTCATAAAGTGTCTGTTTTGTGCCAACTGTTATTATGTGCCATTTGTTCACCAGCACATCATTTGGCCGGCAAGCAACACACTCAAAATCTCAACAGCAGGATTGTCTATAGAAGAGTGAGAATGGAATCCCTCTTATGAGCAGCTACATGCACCTGATGTGGCACATACGTTGCTGCTGTATGGGAAGCAACGAAACAACCCCTAGGTGTTCCCCCTACATGGTCAGCCTGAGACCGACCTTTGGGAGATCGCACACTTGTGTGGAGGTGTTCTTGTACATCCTCGCCTTGTGCTGACCGCTGCACACTGTGAGACGGACATTGGGTGAAAACCCTATGTCCAGATCGGGTCTCAATATACCCATGACGATGACAGAAGCAATGGAGTGCAGGTGAGAGCATGTCAGGAGTGTTCTGTGCCGCTGGCACCCGGAGTGAATGGGAATCATTATAAGAGCTCATGCATACATTGAATAGTTGTAGTTCGTGTCACGGGTAACTGTGGCCTCATGGAATGCAGTGTTCCGTGTAGCAAATGTCTTTTGTGGAGACAACTCAGCCTGGTTTTAATAGTGGATTATTAGAATGGCAAACAATAAGAGCTTGATTAGTTTTTGGGTGTATTTGTAGGTTATTATGACAGCCAAATTGATTCTCCATCCTGAGTGGAATGGAAATTTCGAAGGTGGGTTTGACATAATACTGGTGTGCTGCACAAGACAGTCAGGAATGCTATGCCAATCTTATTGCCAGATGGGCAGTCAGTGATCAAGCCAAACATGCCAGTTTTTGCTCTGGGATGGGGTTCTCAATTTCCAGCTGAGTGTGCACACCAGAAAGTGGCAACAGGTTCCAAACAGTGCTCTCCAGGGAATCAGGATGAGGATTATGGACAGCAGGCCTGGCCCACTGAAACTTGAGGAACACCTTCATCCACATAAGCTGTGTGCATATGATGCCATCCAGTGTCTTGCAAAGGCAATCTGTTTGGTTTTTTTTGTATCCATTTTTCTGACTGTGTGTTACAACACATTCTCACTGGGCCTGGTTTCAGTTGAAACAAAACTCAATTATTCCATTCCAGATGTGCTTACGTTATATGCTTATCACATGTGTTCAACTCTTGTCCAACTTGTTTATACTGCAACGAGTGCTGAATTTTCTAAGATTTCTCTGTAATATTGAAAAATATTGCGTCTTCAAGAATGTGCCAGTATACAAGGTAGTTTGGAATTGCTGTTGAGAGGTTTAGAGTGCCCAGAACTCAAAACTCCAAATTTTGTTAAGTTATGTTGAGTTTGTTGTTCCTTGTGAATATTGCTGTTGTGCATCGAACTATGTGACATAGTGACTACTGCAGTATAATATACCCTTCCGGATAGTAACGTAACGTTTATCCTTTTCATGCAGAGCAACAACCAGAATGTAAGAGTGACAAGAAATTGTGGAGCAGCCCCAGCTGCAATGCAAGGCGTTGCTCGTTGCGTCTGACAGCCCCTGGTGCACTGTCGCTGTGGTGGAAAACTGGCATTTGAGACCATGCAAATTGGGCGGAGTCACCACTCCAGCTGTGGCCTTGATGCGCCCAAAATTGCGGACTGTCAAGTAAACCCGCAACAAAAATTGTAACACTGAAACTTAAAAATGCGGAAGGGTGAAGTATACTATGGTATGTGACTGTCACATTGTCACAGCACAGTGACGCCTTCAGAGGCTGAGACACCACCATGAACAGGCGTGGATATTTCAGTGAAACAGGGCACCATTCATAGGGCAGTCTGGTAGCAGCCCTGTGACTGTGTATATGCAGTACTAGGCCATGGCGTGTGGGACTGTGAGGTGCATGTGCGAGATTCTTTTGTTGTGCAAGTCGCTCAAGCAATTTGACATCTGGGTTGCATGTGGACCGTATGGCTACACACTATCATCTACATGCCTGTCCTAGATTTGTAGAGTCATGACTGGTGGATACAGCTGAAATTTGTGTTGCGAGAGATTTCCAGCTCTAGTGGCTTGCACCTGGCCATGCAGAGCCCGTTGTTGATTGTAAATTTCCAGTTATTTGCTGCTTTCAGTGTAGACATTGGTCAATACTCCTGCTAGCTTGCCTTGATGACCAGGAGTAGTCGTTCCTGTCATGCCCCATCACCATGAACACATTCACCCTACTTGTCCTTCAAAAAGCTCTTTCAATAAGCTGTTTCATTTTGAGTTGCATGAAACATCCAAGCAGGTCTCAACAGATTTTGATCTGAAATGTCTGCACTCCATTTTCACCAGTATTGGGTATTGCATTTCCACCTTTGTTGTGCACACAGGAGATTCTGGAGGACCACATTGGAGTGTTGAAAGTGGGCAGCCTGGAAAGATCTGCTATCGGGCATCACGTCAATTGGCAAAGCAGATTGCAGCCTGGCAGACTGTCCTGATATATATATTAATGTGGCAGGCTTCTGCGCCTGGATTGATGATATCATTGTGGAGACAAGAGATGATGCTCCAGTGGTGTGTTTTAAGAACATTTCAAGCTGTGAGTGCCACACACGTTGTGCCCTCTTTCGGTTGTTCATTTGTGG